TTACTATGCCTTTGTGTCATGCAAAATACGTGGCACCTAAGCAGTGGACCCTCCATAAATATTTTTCTAAAAAATACAATGAAGCTGGGCATGGTAGCTCACACCTATAATTCCAGCAACTCAAGAGGCTGAGTTTGGAGGGTTACTTGAGGCCAGGAGTTCAAGACTGGCCTGAGCAATATAGTGAGACCCTCATCTCTAAAAACAAAAAAACAAAATATTATCTGAGTGTGGTGGTCCTGGGTATTCAGGAGGCTGAAGCAGGAGGATAGTTTGAGCCCAGGAGTTTGGGGATACAGTAAGCTGTGATTGTGCCACTGCACTCCAACCTGCGTGACAAAATGAGACCTTTTCTCTAAAAAATAAATACATATGGTTGGAGGCAGTGGCTTTAATTCTAGCACTCTGGAAAGCCAAAGGAGGAGGATTACTTGAGCTCAGGAGTTCAAGAACAGCCTGAGCAAGAGCAAGACCCCCATCTCTGCTAGAAATAGAAAAAATTAGCTGGATGTTGTAGTAAGGGACTGTAGTCCCAGCTACTCAGGAGGCTTGAAGGAGGGGGATCACTTGAACCCAGGAGTATGAGGTTTCTGTGAGTTAGGCTGAGGCCATGGCACTCTAGCAGGGGGAACAGAGTTAGACTGTCATAAATACATAAATAAATAAACAAATAAATTAAAAGAAATACATATATCCACTCTGATGGTTTAAGTTGTACCAGCTAGGTTAGGTTAGGCTTCCCAGCTGACTTGTTAAGTCCAGGCCTAAGACCAGAGATAGTCACACTGGAGGGCTAAGAACTGTGGCCTTTACAGCTACCGACAGGGAAAGGTTTGAGATCCGGGAAAAGCCAGACTGAATCCAGAAGCAATAAGATAAGGATTCAGACTGATTGGACTTACCTCCTCCTCTGAGATCAGAGGCCAGATGTTCCTGAGATAGAGGAGCAGGTGGAGGGCTGCCGGTAGGGCAGAAGGCAAACACTGGAAGGCAGCAAACTTCATCTGGGATGACTTTCTCCTCAGACATGAAAAGTAAGAGAGATGAATTCAGGAAAAAGTCAGTAGAAAGAGTTTAATCACATGCACAACAATTCTTAAAGTAGGGGGCTTCAAGGTACCTACTCCAAGGCCAGCACAGTGCCTCACAACGCTGTGAGGATTTTGCATCCACCCTCACCTTCTAGCCTCAACATGCGAAAGTTGAAATGCTGCTACTCGGTCTTTAAAATAGGAACCCTATGGCTCGGCACCCATAGCACAGTGGTTATGGCTCCAGCCACATACACCGAGGGTGGCAGGTTTGATCCCAGCCCAGGCCAGTTAAACAATGACAACTATAACAAAAAATAGCCAGGCATTGTGGCAGGCGCCTATAGTCCTAGCTACTTGGGAGACTGAGGCAAGAGAATCACTTAAGCCCAAGAGTTTGAGTTTGCTGTGAGCTGTGATACCATAGCACTCTACTGAGGACAGGAGATTTATAAAATCCTTTCCACTGCTCCTGCCACTATCTGCACTGAACACAATAAGTGAGTATGAGGAGCCATCAGCTTCTTAGCTGCTTAAGGAACACAGCCTTACAGCCTTACACTCTCCACAAATTCACCTGCTCTCTATTTGAGAAGTGCTGTTCACCTAGGACAACCAGTTCCCTGGGGCAAATAGTGCTAGCATTAGAGCAAGCTAAGCTGGCAAGTAATAAATAGCCTTAGGACTCTTTAGCCACTGTGGAGTACCCCAGGGAGCCTGACTCCAAGAAGCACAGGGAGCCTCCAAGTAAGAAGGACTCTGCACCTTGGTAAGTTGAATACTCAGTCTCCTTTGTTACTCCCCCCCCACCCCTGCTCTTTTGTGAAAATGCAGGGTGAACCCCAAGGTCTGAGGCACTTTCCATTGAAACCCACCATGATCGGCTCGGCGCCTATAGCTCAACC